TGAAATCTTAAATCTTTCTGTTTACGTTGTCATTTCTATGAACTCTGTTGATTTCCATTGTAGCAATTCTGCCGAAACATGAATGCAAACCTGGCATCAGGTAAACCTTCTGTGAAATCCCTAAAAGTACAATGTATGAGCACTGTAAATGTTAAAGAAAAAAGGAAACAATACCCACAATTCCCCAAATATTTTTTATGCATTTAATGTGACAAACAGTAATGTGTGACAGAAATGTAAAACAAGTAGTGTAATTTATTTTTAACAAAGACAGCAGTTCAATTTTTTATCATATTGAATATTTACATAGTGTTTTGATGCAGCAGTAAACACATGTATGCATCAGGTGCTACTGTTATACAGAACAAAATATTTAGATTAGTAATCATTTCTCCATGTGATTATGATTTCAATTCATGCTGATTTTATGTACTTACAGGAAACCAATTCCCATTTATTGGTGCCAGGGCCATCTGATGATTCCTGGGCTGTCATGAAGGTGTGGCCCACCTGACGACAAAGCAAATACTCTAATATATCACAATAAGAATCTGGTTCTGATTTGATTTACTTCTTTTCTTTTACTGTAATGCTGCATAAGGAATGAAGCGACACGTGACATAAACTGGAGGAGCTCTTTTAACAGGAGCAAATTGCATGTGTACATGAAAGAATGCTTTTAGCAAAACTTTGTTTCCCAGAATGAATTGTTGTTTCTCATCTTCTTCATCATTAAAATCTTAAGCATTGAATCAAACTGGTCTGTGCATTTAAATGCTTAATACTCATGAGTGTACTTTTAAATTTCACATACATCTGCACTCTAAAATCTAACTAGTTCTCTGAGCTCAAAAAAACCCATATGCAAACGTGTTGCCTAGAAAAAAAACTAACAACACTTACTTAAGATGATTAAGTTAGGACAACTTAATCATTGTGAGTACAAAGGACCAGAGATGACTTATTTTTTCTGAGTGAGCAATACTAATTGTTTAACCACTGAAAAAGATTTCAAATTTAACTAAATTAAAAA